TGAACATTTTGAATCCAGTTGCCTTTGTATTTCAAAGGTTTGTCCAGACTACACGGCGCAACATCCCAGAAGACACTTATCTTCAAGTAACTAAACTGTTATCGTAAACTTTAATTAAATAAAACCATGCTGATTTATAAATTTAAATTTAAAATTAAAAATATGTGATAGTATACAAAACTTAATTTTTGGAAAAATTAAGTTCGGAGTATGTTTTTAATTTGTAATTAGAGCTCTGCTGGTTTTCTTACGTGTAAGGTCAACAGACGCCTGATTCTGTAATGATGGGGAACTTCCAGTGCGTAAAAACAATGGATTAAAAATGTAACGTAAAAGAAAAAGAATTCTAAACAGCTCAGAAAAGCCTTTCATAATACAATTAGGAATTTCATCAGGTCCATTGCATTTCATCTAACAGAGACCACAAAGCACCCGTTTAACGTCTTCTTCGCAAATATCTAGAAAATTTAAAAAATCATAACAGCAGTAGTCAAAATTGTATGTGGTATTATTGACAGAGGAGGAAATTTTGAAAAAAAATAAATAAAAGAGGTCTTCAAGGCTTCTGTAATAAACTGCGGGTTTTTAGTAATGTTGGGTCCTACTTTAATTTTCGTAAGAGATTGATCATTTATTTTGAACTTCAAAACATATTTCAGAAAGTCGGGTTCTCAAATTGCCAGCGGTAGATCTGAACCGATCTGTATTGTTTCCTTGAACAGTAATATTAACTAGTTTAAGATAATATGGAAAATACTGTAATGTTCTTAAATTTTTTAATCAACAGACATCTCTTCTTATTGTAATATGTAAGAGATTTGGATAATCAGCGCCCAACAAAGTAGCCGTGAGATTATAAATAACTTGCAGAATCAACGAAACTAATTTGAAATTAAAGACAATCGTCGAATGATTTCAGAAGCGATCTTCGTTTACTTAAATGCAGAAATACTTAAATCCTTTATGTCTATAAGCAAGTTCGATCAGTAAACAAAATTCTTGCCCTTATTAAGCCCAAGAGAAGAAAACGTAGCGTGGATAAAATGTCCTTTAATTTTATGCTGTGACAAGAGTTAGAATTATGTGTCAGTAAACCAGTCATTAATAATAACAACAACAATATAGATTTTTATTTGTTTAATTCTTTCACATTTACAACAGACTAATTTTTACAAATGTTAATAACTTATTTTCTTAAGATGATATAGTTGCGTCATATTGTGAAATTTAATTAATTATTTGGTTTTTGTCCGTCTAATCACAATTCATATTTAAAATTTACAATTAAGATAATTAAAATATCATCATATTAAAATAACATCACCAAAAAGTTGCATATCAGAAATTGTAATTAAGTTTTAAGTTTATAATTTTAACTTTTACACCTGAAGATGATTTATATAGAAACCGAAACATGTTGTAAAAAGATGTTCCAATTGTAAATCGATTGTTCGATGAGGAACATAAAATGATATTTTAATTATCTTAATTGTAAATTTTAAATATGAATTGTGATTAGACGGACAAAAATCGAATAATTAACTTATTTTCTATAAATAATGTATAGTCTTATTAAATTAATTATACATCCAAGTAGAACGTGTATATATATATATATATATATAAAACCCTGATTGTTTATTTATTGTTTATTTAACGATGTCAGTATTTCACACTTTGTTACTGTGTTCCTGGAAAGTTTGTTAATACTGTAAAATGTTATTGAATTTCAGTCGTTGACGTTTAGTCTATTATTAATCTTTAATCAGTATTACGTAGGGTATTTAAAATTCCTGTTAAAATTATCTTTTTCTTTTTTATAGAAATAAAAAAAAATTAATAACGAAACTTTGGAAAAGTATCCGCGCTGTATAGTCTGAGACACTAAAAAGAGTCGTTAAGTAAACTACAAATAAATAAATAAACTGAAAAGTACTAGAAGCAGGGATCGCCAAACGCTGATAAGCTTTTACCACAGAAAAGAATGGGTGTGACTTACTTAAAGTTTTGGTTTGAATTATACTAATGTGCAGTGGTTATGAAACGGGTGGACTGACTGACCATTTCAAATCGAGTATCACTATAATTTGAACGTCGTCGTGTTTTTAGAATAGTTAACTCTATATAACATTATTATGTCTTGATCTAGTCCACGTATTAGGCGACATACAATATGAAGACCCTTGCAAGCTGACGAATATAAAGACGACGCCTCACGTGACCCATTGCGACAGGTATTACGCCTGTTATGATGGACAGGCCCTCGAGTTCGACTGCCCCAACGGTCTAGTGTACGTCGGGAAGGGCCGCAGAGGACCCTTCGACGGGGTCTGTGACTACGAGTTCAACGCCGACTGCACGGGAAGGGAGAAAAGGAGTAAGTGGCAAGTAGAGATGGCCGGGTGAGAGCGAACAGAAAGGCTGCCACGTCACTTGAATGCTTCCTTAAAACATTCACATTAATCTTCAGGCTGGCGTTCTTAGATTGATGACAGCATTAACACGGGCGGTGCTTTGAGTGAGAAGTTGCTCCGGACTTTAAAACGGGGAATTATAATATCGCTTATACTGCACAAGTTAATACGTCAGTCTTTTTGTTATTGGGGATTATAGTAGATTCAGAAATACGATGTTTGGTATACCTACCATGTGGCGTGGTGTTAATGTAGGATTTCGCGAAAGCCGACCAGTTTGACAGAAATTTTGAAGAGGACACAAATATGATTCCGTAAGCTTGACGGATCGTAATTAAGAAAGTAATTATCGATAACATGACTAATAATTCTTCATTAAGAAAGTAATTATCGATAACCTGACTAATGATCCTTAATTGAGAAAGTAATAATCGATTACTCGACTAATGGTTCTTAATTAATAAAGTAATAATCGATAACTCGACTAATGGTTCTTAATTAAGAAAGTAATAATCGATAACTTGTCTAATGGTTCAAAATTAAGAAAGTAATAATCGATAACTTGACTGATGGTTCTTAATTAAGAAAGTAATAATCGATAATTTGACTAATGGTACTTAATTAAGAAAGTAATAATCGATAACTCGACTAATGGTTCTTAATTAAGAAAGTAATAATCGATAACTTGGCTAACGGTTGTTAATTAAGAAAATAGCTTATTTCTTAGCCATAAGTAGGTCATCTGTGGGCTAATCGAAGACATAAATCGTGTCTATTCCTAAATCTGTACGTAAATTGGGATTAATGTTTATTTCGTTGAAAGTATTATTCATTGTTTTGTCCATATTTCACTATAAATTCTTCTTTACACCCTTCCAACAGTATACTTATATTTAAGTAGACTATCGAGTCTTACAATTTATATAACGATTAATTTCACTGGTAATTGATTAAGGATCAGTATTTATCTAATTAGAATAGAATTTATCTATTTAATTCAGTTAATGAAACCTTTTTATTATATCCGGTATCCACTTACTCTTTATTTTCAGGCATTAAGAATAGTAAATGAGCCACATGGCATTTGAGTTCCATCTGCGTGCTAGGGATTTCTCTAATTGGCTTCGAAAGATACTTCTCTGAATTCAGCTTTCTACTGTATTTTCTTGGCTTGCTTGTCATAAATTGATGGCACAAAATGGGCGCCTTACCATTTGCTGTGTTTAACCCGTGACATGACGCCCTGCTACAAAGTGAAAGTGTAATGTAATGGCGCGCCAGTGTATCCTGGGTGGGAGTAAGTCTCGCGTAACTGTACTTCGTGTTGGCCACAGAAAATGGTTGTCTGGCTGTGGTAGCATCGCAGAATAGGGTCACGACAAACCCACTCTATTAACAGAGAATGAAAATAAGCCTAAATAGCTCAGTCAGTAAGGTAAAATGACTATCGGCTGGCTTAGGGGTTCGACTGCTGTCAGAGACAAGGATTTGCCTCTTCGTCTGGGGCCCTAACCTTCTACCTAAGACTAATATAAAAGTGTTTGGAAATAATACAACCATGTAATATTCGAAGGAAGATGGTGAAATGTTTATCTTCAGTTCAAACAAATGTATTTTCTGATCTTCGCAGTTGAAATTCGTGTTACACTAAGATCGTCTAGAGTCTCTAAATACGTCTCTTCACAGAAACAATCACATGGTTTAGGGAAATCAAAACCGCATAATTTTACTAATTTTAATCTTAAGCTTAAGATTAAATTTTCGTTTCTCTGTTCTTATATCAAGCTCGCTTAAATGCAGTTTTCCATTGAACAAATTGGCATTTAATTACATTTAAATATACAACATAGGTACGCAAGCAAATATTTGGCATGCACTTTAAACTTTAAAAGAGTTTATTTGAAGCCTACTAATATAGAATGGGGATCATTGATTCAAATGGTGTACTAGTCGATCTCAGCATCTGTAGAAAACAAACTAGTTCTCACACTCTGTGTTCAGCTTAATGTCGATTTGTGTTTTATGAATCAGCGATAAAGAAGAAATTAATTTTTTTAATTAAATAGTTGTGTAAAACAAAAATATAACGTCTTTATAAATAATGTTTGACTTCACTGGATCTTTCGTCACGTTAAATTTAAAAAAGTGACGTCTCAGAACAAGTCGTTAATTGTATCGGTTTGAAAATAAATTCGAGAATTACCCAGTTTAAAGCTGAGACAGGTTACCGGCTGTCATAACGGAATATTATCGTGGTTTTTCTATGTCTCTCCAAGCTAATGCCGATAGACGAAAAGATTAAAAATGTAAGGACAATACTGGAATATTTTCGTCGAATGCTCGTCATCATTGCAGATCCATCTCCGCAAACGAACGGAGCAATGGAGTGACAAGTCGTTGCCATTACCATAAAATTTTAAGTACTTCGCAGAGAATTTATTAAAATCAGACAGGCAGTGAATTGAGGGTGCGTTTTTACTTAAAATTGTGGAAGCATTTTTAACATCGTGGTAGCATTCTGTCCGTGTCCCGGGCCATCTCACTGCTCGGTAGCTGTAAGGTTACTAATCATGTTTGCCACTACAGGCTTGGCGCAGAAAGCCACCCGAGACCAAGAAGACCCCTGCAAGGTGAAGAATCGGGTGATAGCTGACGTGACGTATTGCGACCGCTACTGGGAGTGCGTCAGTGGACAACCCGAACTTTATGACTGCCCCAATGGTCTCGTGTACGCGGGCAAACACCGCGGGGTCACCGAGGGCTGCGACTACCCCTGGAGATCCAACTACTGCGAGGGGAAGCAGCTGGCCAGTATGAGAATCTCGTGTGCAATCTTTCATTCTTCCAGCTCTCCCATTGGCTCGACTGACATTGACGCTGGATTAACATTCTTCATGATATAGTATAGCTGCGTCATATTGTGATATTAATTAAAATAATTATTATATTTGTTTACAGTCAATCACAATAAAATAGTAAGTTAAGATAATTAAAATGATTAAAATATCATCTTATGTTCCATATCGAGCATTCTATTTACATCGGAACATTCACAACATGTTTCGGTTTATCAAACCGTCATCAGGTGTAAATTATACACTTCTGGATCTCTCCTCTGAACACATCGGAACCGATTTCAATTTCATAAATGACTGATATAAACATCAATAACACCACCTCAACAATAATGTTATAGTAATAATATCTAGACACAACTTCCATAAAATATAATGAGAAAGATGATAAAATTATGAAATTGTAAAAACTATAAATAATTGTAATTTGAGTTTAAAAGTTTATAATTTACACCTGATGACGGTTTGATAAACCGAAACATGTTGTGAATGTTCCGATGTAAATAGAATGCTCGATATGGAACATAAGATGATATTTTAATCATTTTAATTATCTTAACTTACTATTTTATTGTGATTGACTGTAAACAAATATAATAATTATTTTAACATTCTTCATAACTGAAAGAACATGATTTCTTCACTTTGCCAGTGTTGCACTAAGAATCATTCTAACCCAGTCAGTAACATCACGCACATCGTATTTAAATTAATTGTGATAAATTTAAATAATATTCTTAAGAATGGGGGTTCGAAGAAATCTTTGATAAGTTGAGGGGACGCTGTCATATAAAGTTTCGATGCAACTGGCGTATGAAGTGATCTGCCTAACCAGGGAAGCTGAGATCGTGAAAGTACACTCTCTCTGGACTAACAAGAACTCACATTTCTCTCCTGCAACTGCGACTAAGCGCACACAGACTTCTGTACCTTCATCGCTGACAGTGCAACATTTTTCACCGTAAAATAACATTCAGCTTTTGTTTCCAACAGCACGAATATTTAACTTTCTCTCTGACGTACTTTTTCTTTACAGGATTTATTTATTTGCTCTGTTTCCTATTGTCTATTATCTTAATTTTTCTTGCCTTTTTCAGCTATTTTATGCATGAAATGTAACCAATTATACTTGTGTTTCCCTCGACATTGTGACACTAACAAGCCGTTACTTTCCACGCTAATATAGTTTTAAGAGCCAATAGCTAACTTAGTTTATAAGTCTGTTACTCGAGTGAATGCGTGTATAAATTGGTATTTTTCAATTCTTTGATCTACAGAATAATATTATTCGTTGTGATTTCTTTAGTTCCACACTTTAACTGTTCTCTCTCATTTGTGGCTAATCGTCACAAAATTTTGCACGGTATTCTCACATAAAAACAGTTTTATAATGGCCAGAGCTTCAGTCTGTATTTCAGTATTTCTTAGTGTTTGTGTCTACAGTAATTAACCACTGCAACTGATACGTAATGTGTGAAACTAAGAAGTTTTGGCCAAGAAAAATATTTAGCTTATTTCATGTACTTTCTACTTTTAATACCTAATCATTTCATAAAATGTAATTTTTATGTTGATATTGCATCTTGCATACAACTTACACGTACTTAATATCATGGCATACTTTCCGATCATTTTTTTAATGAAAGTAGAAAGTAGTGAAATGAGTAGAAAAGCAAGTCATTTTAAATATCATTCGTTTTTAATATTAAGCCGGTAACATTCATATCACAGTCAATGACATGCATTGTGAAAAGATTTATTTCTCTTACATTTTCCGACTTTCCTAAAGCTTTCAAGAAAGCCTTTCACTTTTTCATAAAATATCCGACAGTTTTCTGACTTATAGCTTCGTGTAGCCTGGCAATATTTTACCAACGTTTCGTAGGTCCTTCCTGCCTCCATCATCAGGGCGCCGTGGCAGCAAGGACCTCTGAAACGTTGATGAACTACCAGACTACACATCGCTGCAACCCAGCAGTCATCGTACTCGAGGCGCTGAAATCGACAGCTGCAAGTTATCTTCATTAAAATTCATGTGTAAATCCTGTAGTAATGTGATCCAATGTCTCTGCTAGGATTTAGGCTGTATTTGGTGTGGTAGACATTCAGTCAGACATTTGCGTATTCCACAGACGCGCCGATTTCAACAGAACATTGTGATTGGCTGTACGGCATCTTCGGTCACGAGACCTCGTGTACGAGATATTGGACTTGCTGGAACGGAACAGCTACCGAACAGCTGTGCATCGGAGGACTGCTGTATAACGAGAATACACATTCATGTGATTGGCCCGATAACGTGGAGGGATGCCAAAAGCACCGTGAGTTGAATGAACCTTACAAGCAGTTGGTCTAATGAGGTTTTCAGAAATTTTAGCTGTTGCTGATAGAACTCGTATGTTATGTACTTGAAGTTGTGTATTCCTCTAACTCTCAAGCATTGGAATACGAAAGGTCAAACCAGCCAATACCAAACTCCATGTCACGACAACCTTCATTTCACTACTAAAAGTGGGCTAGTAAGTTTTGTAAAGTTCTCATTTCCACTCAAACTGTATACATCTGAAATCCAAATACTTTTTCGTGTTACTTTGTTTCGGCGTAAAATTATCTTTGTTACGTTTGTTTACAGAAGTTTCCAATATGTGTTCATGTAAGCCACATAAGTCAGTATTTCCCATGCACATAGGAAACCCAGTTATTTGTTTCTTTGTATTTTCTGAAAATTCAGATTTTGATACTTTCAGCCTTTTCTATTAACACTCCATATTTCATTAACTTATCGTCCTTGGATCGCGTCGTACGCGCATCGCGTTAGTATTCTGTTAAATCGTGAAAGATGGAGTTACAGTCTGGCCAACATCCGCGTTTGTATTTCCTTCGTAATCTTAGACTCTATACTCTTTGATTTTTGCCACAGCCCTGTGTAACGAAGACGCCAATGGTAACGTGCCCTTGGGAAAATCGTGCAATCGATACTGGCAGTGTCAAGGCGGATATCCCCGGCTTCAGCGCTGCCCCGCCATGTTGGTTTTCGACCGCAGATCGCTGAGGTGTGTCGTGCCTCCTACAGAGGACTGCGAGGTTCCGACGACACAACCACCTCTGTTAGATGAGCTGGAACAGGAAGGAGAGCAGAACATACCAAATCCACCTCACAGATCTAACCGTCCTCAGCAGCAGGACCCCGTGAACCTGCCTCCAGGAGCTGTTCCTCTTCCCCTGAGAAACAGGCCACGAAATTAATACGACTCTGACATTAACATTACTTTCCTGTGGTTCTATCGCCAGTGTTTGTTGTGAAGTCTCGTTGCGTGGGTGTGCATCGTCAACAAAGATTGTAAAGGACGAGTCGAAGATGAATAGAGAAAGTTAGGCTACTAGGTTCAGATAGCAAATAGAGCTCAAAATATCTGTCATTATAAACATGGATCAGATTGTGTCCTCATTATAATTTTTCGTACGTATTTGTGACTGTCAAATGTTTAAAGTTTAACCTTACAATGAGGTTGTTGAAAATATATCGCACTTAAAGATGACAGTTTTCATTCTGAAAATCATATCAGACTTTTTCTGTGGAATTTTGACTTGGACTATCACATTCTAAGATCTTCCTTTTTGGATCGTAGGCCTCTGTTTATCAGTTTTCTCGTTAGATTTCTTCCTGATATCCAATTCAGATCAAGCTAAGGTAAGACAAGATTTATTTTTGTGTGTGAAAGGAAGCACGCACTAACAGAATTTTATTTAAAGAAAATTATTTCTTAGAAATTAAGTCTGATCGTACATTTATATTTACAACAACTGATTTTTTTATTCAAGTTGCTTTGTTCTGGGTAAAGAATTTTATTTTAAAACACGAAAATTCTTAAGATAGTATAATTGCGTCATATTGTGAATCAAATATTAAATTAATTATTTGGTTTTGTCCGTCTAATCACAATTATATTTAAAATTTACAAATAAGGTAATTAAAATATCATTTTATGTTCCACATCGAATAATCCTTATTTGTAAATTTTAAATATAATTGTGATTAGACGGACAAAACCAAATAATTAACGAAAATTCTTTTTAATAGTTTAGTGATATAAAACAACACACATTAAAATTAAATTTAATTTCTTCAGAGCACTCGATTTTGGTATATTTCCGTACCTGCTGCAGCCACTAAAATATATTTTATATCTTAATTGCATCATGCTTGTGTTCCTCAATACAATACTTTTATATCCGTCGTTACACAAGCTTATTGTTAAAAATCATATACACGCACCTCACACACAACCCGGTATGTAAAATTTCACTAATTTCTGTAGTTTCTGAACTGACGTGTAATTGGTAATGACTTTAGTTTCATTTAGCCTCTTGCCCTCATTGCTGTTGGTAAATATGTTTAAAACCTTTTAGAACTGTTCTTATTGACATGTTTGTCTAACTGAATGATGTATGACGCACTCTTGTGCTAACAAAATGCCTCGCGTAAAGCCTATAAATTGAAGACAGGGTTCATATCCCGAAAATGGGGCAAATTGAATTATATTTTTTGTTTCAAGCCTTTTAAATGCTTTTACCTATTATTACTGTTTTTGCCTGCAAGGTATACTTCGTAAAATTTGTGATTTTCGTCGTGCTGAATAAAAAATATGGCCGTCTTCTTTGTAGTGCCATTTTGTCTCGTAGAAGTTTATCGACGTTTCAGAATTCCTTGCTGACTCCATCATCAGAGCAATGAGTTAAGATGAAGCTCTGAATTGTTGGTAAGCTTCTATCAGACTACAGAGTGCTACAACCCAGAAGACAGCCATCCTCAGGGTATACTTTGTTTGGAGTTTTGCCATTATCGTCTCAGACATATATTCACGAGGCTTTATGATAATAATCCACTTTTATTGACAGTAAATAATTTCTTTTATGGAATTTTAATATAGGCTTGTGGCATGTATCTTCGTTGTTATTTCCCATTTGAAGAACAGACATTTTAAGTCAGTATGAGTAAAACAAAAACATTTGAAAATTTGATATTTTTGAAGACATATTTTCAGTTAGCATTCCATAATAATATGGAATGTATTTAAACAAAAATGTATATTTTTCTAAGGGAAGTTACGTTCGTCATTACAAATTGTTGTTCACAGTGGCCTTGATTTTGAAAGAAGTGATTAAGGAAATTTGCAAACCATCTCGATGATCTTAGGTCACAATTGCGTTGGAAATCCAGCTTCATTCACTGCCGTCAATTACAAAATGGAGAAATTCTGTTTCTCAGTAACAACCCTTGCCTCTGGAACCATTACTGTCTACGCACTCTTGCCAAAAGCTGCAACTGAACACATTTCTGCAAAGACCTTCACTAAATGAGGAATATGTAAAGGTTTGATTTGATCTGTTTACGTGATATCAGAGAGTAGAGTTTATTAATGTAAGTTACTTCATTTTCAGGACGAATAAGACGCAAGAAACCATAAAACATAACTCATTTTCCACAATCCGTTCATCTTCCAACCAAACCTCTTCACAACATCTCAGTATCGTAACTTCATTACATTTTCTCCAATTCAGTTTTTATACACGGGAATGTTGTAGTTCTCTCATGTTTTATAATATTAAATATCATTTTAAGCACACCAGTGAAATTGAAATTATTATCCTTTCTTTTCATTTTAAACAAGTAAAGACTGACAGCATTTGTAATGAGTACTACGAGTTGATAAGTTCTGTAATATTACAGAGCTAATTATTTTAATTTTTCTTAATTATTGTATTACGTAAGGAATAATAAAAATCATTTTACCGTTACTATACATTTAGAAGTGTAATCATCCTTACATTACGTTTTCTAATATTTGTTCCGCTGTACATAGTTAAGTTTAGAGTACTTTAATAGATGCCTTAATTATATAAATAGTACTTTGACTACTTTAGTATGTATTATTACCTATATAGAAGTGTTTTTAAAATTAAAATGCCTGTCCAATCATATGCATATATTAATTTTATTGCCAGCCTCTTACGTCATGAGACCACATACGAACTTCCACTTTCCTGACACGACGTTTCGAAATCCGGATCCGTTTTCGTCTTCAGGTTCATGGGGCAGGGGCCGTGGTTGAGACTAGCTCGTGCCACGTACACCTAAAGATGAAAAAAGATCCGGTTTTCGAAACGTCGTGCACATTTTAACCTTAGACGATTGACAACGACCAAAAAACCCGAATGTAACATATCATCGTCAGAACCCTACAGAATTTAGTCACAAAGAGGGAAGTAGTCCAAAAAATCCGAATATAACATATCATCGTCAGACCCGTACAGAATTTAGTCACAAAGAGGGAAGTTTTGTTTTGTGGAATGGCAGCTCTGATTGGGTGCGTTGGTAAGTAGCGTTCTGTGCGTCTATTGTGTAGTTACTTGTTAAAGGTCTTTGAGTGCTGCTATGTGTCATGGATGGGTGTGTCTACCAGGTAAGACATTTTCATGCTTCTCTCTTTACTCGGTAGGGGAACGTAACTTGCATTTGTTTCAGGAATCACTGCTTTATACGTTTTTATATGTTTGTTGTCTACTACGTCTTACATTAACTCATTAACTTGTGTTTTATACTGGATCAGGAACAAAGGTAATAAAATTAGACCACGGAATTCTAAAAATAATGATGTTATTTACGCTATTTACGAATTTATCTATATTTACCCAATTTGATAGGTTAGGAGGCGTACAACTGTTAGGTTATGTTATCCATGTCCCTTTGTATTCGCCATAGATTTGTGGGCGTAGCCTAAGGAAGTTGGTGTTGGTTTTTGTGGTTATGACGCTATGCTGACTCACAGATAAACACTAGCATTTCACAGGAATATACTGTCTCCATCTTCAGGGCTGAAGTGAGGAATTTGCATAAGATGGAGATATATATCAATAACGTTGGTATCTATCCATGTGTCCACATGTATTGAAAAACGTAATACCAACATCGACATCTTAACTGCTGCAAGAACATTAAGTCTCGCAGAGTAAAAACGTGTTTAGGGTCAGTGCATAGAAATGTTTCTGAGTTACAGACCTATTTATTCTCTCACTGTGGGTTCAACAACACTGTTTCTGGATTTACGCTTTACTAAGTTTGTGTCAGAACAACAACTGTTGATTGTAAAGCAGTTTTATAAGTCGTTACATATTTTATCGTGTCCTGGATTTTTCACCTTTCTTATATTGCCTTCGGTGAACACGTGTTAATCCTCAGATTTTGTGACATTGTGTCGCGTACTAGATAACCGACGTTTCGGAGGGAGTGCTCCTTCCATCTTCAGGGTAGAAACTAGAGGACGCGCGTTCTTCCGAAATGTTATCCTCCGTGAAAACTTCAGATTTCGTATTGGCAGTGCCTTTGTGTGTCAACTGTCGGTTTCAGCAAAAGAGACGAGCTGCGCGTTGTTACATTGCGCATTCCCTGTTCGTAACGATGTAACTTAGAGCCAGGTAAAAATTGTCACTCTCACACCTGCTCTCGAGCTACGATGGTCATTTGATATTATGAGGGGTTTTCTGCGGTATTTGTTTTATCTCGCATGATTGAGGAAGGAACGGAAATACGAGTAGACGTAAACACAAAATAAGATGGGACTGAGAACAACAGAGCACTGGACGTCGTATATTCATATCTGAAATAACATTCCTTCTGCTGTGGTCTTACAGACGTAGCGTCGCCAGCAAAGTGTTAAAACGTACGAAAGTTATAATTAGTCTTTACAAGGTCAATATGACTGTGTCTTGATTTTTATAAAGATTAAAAGTCTGTAGCGAGTGGAGCAATATTTTTAATTTAATTTGGAAATCTACAACCAGAAATTTGATCTGAAACTTTCACGGCGACTAAGTACAATGAATTCTTCTCGGGCTACCAGCCGTGTCAGGTGGTTTAATGAAGAAAACGATATTTCGTGAATCATCTCCGTACCCTGAGGACGAAGATGGTTCTCGAAACGTTGGTGTTTTCTTCATTAAACCACCTGACACAGCTGGTAGCCCGAGAATAATTCATTAAGCTAAAAATAATTTTTAGAGAGTCTAAAATAAGTTTTACTGGTAGGTATATTAATTTTTTGTATTTAAAATTCAAAGCAACTTATTATTTTCACTTTCTTGCAGTTTTTTTTTTATTAAAATTGGGCATGGAATCCCCGGAAGGAAGAAATTTAAATTAAACTCCGAAATTATTAAAACCGGCGTTATAATATGTTTTCATTATTTTATGTAAATGTAAATACAATTACGTGCAGTACTTTACAGAATAAATCGTATTTTCTCATTGTAGTAATTAACGTACGCAGGTGAATAATTTGCCCGAAATGTTAAACTAAAATTTTTGGGGTGTGGTGATTCAACGTTAAAATACAATGTTTTTTAATGTCACAATTTATGACGTGGCGATGAAAATAAAATTTACTATACAATTTACAGCCCGCACGAACAGAGTGTAGAATAATTTTAACTAATACTCCTCATCTTGTGTTTAATTAGACTTCGCTTTAGTAGTTATAACATGTTGAAAATGAAAAATAATACTTAGGAATGTGTTATAAACATTAATTAAAATCTGTTGATCAACAAATGTAATGATTGAGAGATCATTTTTAAACCTAAAGCCACTTAGCAGATCAAGGTTTAGATAAAATGATTTTTACATCAGAACAATATTTAATAACGATATAAAATTTATTCTGTGCCCCATTTGAACGTCTTAGACATTTAAATGTGCTTGTATACGAAATTTTGGTAAGTGTCTTTCTTAAAAATAAATTTGTACCGTACGGAAAACGGTAGCGACTTACAGTTATATTACATTAACTGCTAACAATTTTATAATTAGCTTGACTATTACGATGGACATTGGTCATCGTCTTGGTTATTCTTTAAAGACGAAAACGTTTGGGACACTGCATCTGTCTCCGTCAGTAGGTGTAGAATATAAAATATGATACGATGTGTCCTTTCGATAGAGGCAGGCTCCATCATTAGACACTTGCTGAAGTCGAAATTGAATAAATTTACTCGTAGCTTCAAATATTTGTAGGAAACCGAGTGAATAGAAACTTAATAAATAAAATTTTTGAAGAAACTAATAATCATGGAGTAAGCATCCTCTCGTACATTGGTGCTCTCTGAGACACACCCACTTCCATGATTCTTAGTTTCTTCAGAAAATTTGTTATTTGGTTTCCGTCCACTCGGTTCTCCACAAATACCGGGTCTCCAATTTATGAGCTTACGGTCGTGCTTACATTGCGTTATCGGCCGCTGCTGTTGACGAAGGCGGGACTTGTACGCCTGAGTCACGGGCGAATGAGTTTCGGTGCCGCTAGTATCAGCGAACTACGAATATTTCTCGTCACTAATACATGTTATTACATTAATTTTCTTACCTTAAATCACAAAAGATGTTTAAAGTGAGTTCCTTGTGCTTGCAAGCAAGTTTCACATCTCGTTAACATGTTTCGAAATACTCGACGAAACTCTTATTGGGAAATTGTCGAATATTTTCTTTTTGTGATTTAAGGTAAGAAAATTAATGTAATAACATGTATTAGTGACGAGAAATATTCGTAGTTCGCTGTTACTAGCGGCACCGAAACTCATTCGCCCGTGACTCAGGCGTACAAGTCCCGCCTTCGTCAACAGCAGCGGCCGATAACGCAATGTAAGCACTACCGTAAGCTCATAAATTGGAGACCCGGGATTTGACATTTACTAATTACTCGGATTAAAATTGAGTAAGTAAATCCACCTATTTTTCCTTATCATAACCTGATGGCGGAGACAGAACCAGTTTCCAGAAAGTTTTAGTTTTTAGCAAATAACCAAGACGATAGGCAATGTCCGTAGTAATAGTCGATTTATTGCAACACACCATCATCACAACTTTTTAGACTTATATTGAACAATTTTGTGTTTGGCTTGCATTCTGTTAATAATTTCATCTTTATGTATCAGTAATTGTCTTACTTAAAACAAATGCGTTTCCATTATGCATCAATTTATTTCTAACAAATAAAAAAGAAACGTTGTTGATGTTTTTTTACCAGACGTTAAACGATTACTGTAGATTATGTATTTAATTTTATTAATTTTAATCGAATTGAATTGTTTATTATGGTTGTTCTTCTGCGTGACAACAGCGATGGTTACCTTCCTCCTGGGTTACTTCCTCACGAAGTTTGCACTGGAAAGAAAAAAGTTAATTTTCATTATCTTATTCGGCTACAAATTTCTTGAAAAAGCTCTTAAATTTCCAGCTTCCGCGTATCTTAACAGTCACAAAACATAATGACGTACAGTTATAGGCTGGAACAAGAGAATCAACTCATATACGAGGTGCGATCGGAAAGTTTTCAGACTGCGCCTATAAAAACCCGTAAACTTATCTCATGTATTAAATTCATCCATCACCCTCGAAGTAGTTCCCCTGGGAGTGAACACAACGATCCCAGCGCCGCTGCCAAGCCTGGAAGCATCCCTGAAAATCTTTCTTTGTCAGCCTGTCAAGCACCATCTGCGATTCTGTCTGAATCTCTTCTATCGTCTCAAATCTCCTTCTCTTTAGCTCGTACTACATCCGGTTCGCCCGCTATTGACACAGTCTGGAAACTTTCCGATCGCACCTCGTATTAGTCCAAGAATGTGTTTGTTAAATAAATTTAAGAAGGCAGAAACCAAATCGTTCACAGCCTCACCACTTGGGCACAAGTTCCTGGTCTTCGCAGGTGAGTGTGGACTCGTCCAGCACCTTCCCTGCTTCGCACGTGATAAGTCGAGGGTAACCGTTGACGCAAGTTATGAGGCGGCTACAGTCTCCGGGGACGGAGAATCGAGGATACGGAAGGAACTTGGCGGAGATCGAATGTGCGGGCACCTTTTCGGGGCATTTAAACCCGACGATGGCTGAAATTGAAATCACAAATTAACATCAAGTTTTATCCAAATCCGTCCAGCAGTTCTCGAGTTGAATCATGACGGTGGGTAGGTAGACAGACCAGCCCTATACGCGTTCATTCCAGGTACATCGTGTAATGAATGCGTAATAAACGCATGGGATTTAAGCGTTGTATTCGGTCAGATTCAGCAACTTGGTGGGCTGCCATAATAGATCACACACCATAGACACTTGTAAATATGAGGTTTCTGTGAAAACGTTTTTCAAATCTTCGTGTTTATTCGAGTTCAAATATTCGCCTTACAAAGAGGGATCGATTTTACTTATTTATTTAAATAATTTGTTGATTTATTTATATATTTGTATTATTATAGTGTAGATTTATGGGGAAATCAATGCATAATAAATGTAAAAGGATAGGAAAGGAAGAGAATTTAATGTTTTGTCCTGACATTTGCCTGGGGGGGATGTGAACCCTAGACCTCTCGAGTGCCAAACAGGAGTGATCGGAGACCACTCCGCCGCGGCATTCCGTAAAGAGGAATTGAAACTGGTTGCGTTACCTTCAGGGTTGCAGAAATCAAGCAGGAGGTCAGGCCAATTGCAGCTGTGGGTCTTGTCGTCGTACGCCAGACCTGGTTCACACGGGGTCGGGTACGGCACGCCATGAGCGCACTTGATATAGTTGCTGCTGCACTGAGCGCTTTCAGGATAGATGCCAAACTGGTATAGACAGCCGGGTGTACTGATCGGGGTCACTGGAACAGGCAAAGAAAAACCGGTAACAAGATTTGTTAACACAGCCAACGAGGCAGGGCAGACCGAGTCAGTTTGATACATTTTCAGTTTTGAAAGATTTATCCCAGTTTCAAACCTCGGCATAAGTGCTCAATCGCCCCATTTATGGGTGAAGTAACCAAATAACATGGGGTGGGTTGAAACTTACTGGAGAGGAATTGAATATGTGTCTCTAGAATTCTTTTGGTTGCAGAAATGACGTTTATGTTTAACCACTGAAAAGATATTTTAAAAAAATATATACATAATTTATTATGAGAGGCTTAGAAAAGTGTTTTAAATGAGGGTCAGTTCAAGAATAAACTTTCCGTAGAATATGATAAATTTTCATTTTGTAGGAATTCGTGGTTGGAATTTTTATGGGCCCACATTCGTCATCGAGTGCATCGAACCCACGCTTCTGTGGCTAAACTCTTTTAGAAATTTTCCGTATAAAGCAAAGAGAAAATTCATCGTCACATTTCAGTCCGAATTTTCTTTACGCCTCTAATTTTACGCTTGGATTCTTTTGTAGGTCTAAGAGACATTTTTCTCTTCTGGTCTGACGTTTTCTCCAGTTGTTTTGAATTCTAAATTCTTCTTCACGGCTTGTCTGTTAGCATTGATGAGGTTTTCTCCTTCCTGTTTCTCGAAAGGACGGATGAATTCACGAGCAGAAGGGCGTGGTTCTGGAAAGTGGTTGTTAGAAGGATCTGGTTTTGCTAACTCATCAAGTGAAATTTCCTTCCCAATCCATGCTGCAGTCTTTGTGATTGAAGCCGATCTATTCGTGACGTAGGAGGGCATTTCTAAATAGTGCCTTGACATTGGCAGGAGCCGATGCAATGTGGTCACAAAACGAGGTTTTTCGTGATCCGAAGGCATGTCTATACAGCGGCTTAAGCCTGCGACTGCAGTGAGATGTGGAGGACAGGCAGGTCATCCGTTATCCTCGTATTAGTCGGTTGTACAGACTGGCATTTGCGAATCGCGAATTCCTACGACAAGAAATGATGGCCGTTCTGTTCAAACATAATGCTTCAAGAATTTAAAAATATGTTGTTTTCTTCCATTGAATTCGATTTGTATAACCGTTACTGTCTGCAAGAGCCAGCCAGAAACTTTCCCACCTCCGTTGCAGGAAACAGTAATATTAGATGTCTGATGCTTTTTTTTAAATAAGTGAGTAGTTTTTTAATCTTCAGCAATGTTTAATAACTAAAAAAATCACATTGAGTTTAATGGACTTACAGGTTTAAATAAATATGACACAATTTTTGTTAATTTCTCGATTAAATTGGACGTGAAATCAAAATATATAAACATGTGTTAACTAACCTGGCTACGTTTGTTATATCTATTACTGAAGCCAAGATTTGTGAAATTTCTTTTGCATTCTCTTCAGAAATTTTTCTGTATTATCTCGTTAAGGAGGGACACGGAATTCCAAATTTTCTTATTGTCATATTTCCTACTTTAACGGTTTAACGCCTTAATAAAATGTGTGTGGGTAAATATCTGTCATTTGCATTCCCTATAAACACACTGAAATGACAAAAGTAATCAAACGCTTACAAAATACTTGCTAGTTGCTGGCACAGTAGTAAGCTGACCTGTCTAATAGCTCCTGTCGTAGCACCAAAACAACTTTCAGTTTGTAGGTCACCTTTCTCTGCGACTGAATGCTCGCGTAACTCTTTTATTTCTGTGTTTTATTGCAACGTAACCACACGCCTTAACTCACACTGAACCTCTGACCAGTCTCTCAATAAAAAGTAATTTGCAATTAACAGATAAATCAGTCGACGACATTCGACTTAAAACAACGAATTACTGGCCACAGAGATCTGCAAACTAGCTTATCGTCTATTGTCACATTAGGTGAAGAGTGCAGAGCTGATATTATTAACAGTGAGCCACAGTTTCCCCTAAGTGGTTTTAAAAATTTATTTAATTAATGCAAATGACACTCACAGTAAGTTGGTTGTCAGTGTATGATTCATATTTCGCTTTTTTCTTTTCTAAACTTTTAGCCACAAACTATCGTGTTTCATACAACGAAAATATAATCTTTTCTTTGTTTCTTGCGTAATTTATTACGTAATTCTTAACGAATATATTTATTTAGTGCCTTTGTTAAGATATTCCTATATAGATTTCAGCTCACATTCAGTTCTTTTATACCTTTAAAATAAATAAATTTACTTGGAAATGTTACCTATATGGCCGATTTGGGGAAATTTAAATTAATATTTGTATAAGTGATCTTATATTTTGAAAGAATTTAATCTGCCCCTAACGTTTCTCAGAATATAACTTTGACTCCGACAGCCTAACTTTCAACTTTGATACTTATTTCAAAGATTTCTTTGGTATTTTATGTTATGATTTCGTCCTTCGTTTTGGTGTCGAGACATAAAAAATCATTGCATTTGCTATCGTTCAAGAGTTTCTACGTTTTATTTTGTGATATTAACGCGATCTGCCAGTAATGTACCATCATTAGCAATTTCCGGTTCCTTGATTTTCTTTGTCATTCCTAAATGCGTAGTGTAAGCCAAAGTTTGACTTTCGTAAAACGTCAAATTAAAATTTATTAATTCGTCCGGTGACAGCGCTCATAGCGGTTGCTTTCAGAAGTAGCCTCCAGTGAACACAGAGAATACTTACGGTCTGCTTTCCGGTTACCGCATTCCACAGCCCAGTTGTAGTTGCAGTGCTCATATACATTTCCCTTCCCGTCGTACAAGAGACCGTTCTCGCATCGCTCCAGGCTCACTGTGCCGTTCGTGCACTTAAAATAGTGATCACAGAGGTCGGGATGGGGGTAGGTCTGGACGCCATGTTGTTCTGGGCAGGCCGGAACGTGCAGAAGAACTCCGGCTTGCGCTGAAAACAATTAATTACCTACGGTGAACAAGCAATCTACAGCACAAAGGTAACAATCTCGACATTACATATGAAATAATAAACCTTTCAAAACGAAAATGGTTTTAGTATAATATAAAATGAATTTTCCTTTCACGAAAACCTTATTAGGAATTATAAGTGGGAAATATGGCAGCTTTTGTCTTTAAAAAACGAAGTAGATAATTGTTATTTATGGTTTAATTAACGACGCTTTCACCAGTTTACAATTTTAGCCCCGAACGACAGGGTAGCGGTTAGAACGCTGGCCTTGTAATCCTGGGGTCTCGGGTTCGATTCCCGGCGGTGCCCGAATTTATAACTTGTGTTGGGCAAGGCCGTGGTCTATGCAACACGGAGTTTTCCTCCGGGGGCTTCCCCGGTTTCTCTGTGGCATCCCAACAATTACTCCATTCACACACAGAAGAAGGCAATGGCAAACCACTTCTGGATCATCTGCCAAGAACGTATATGAACAGGTCCCAGTCCGAGAAAAGGATGGAAGGATCCTGCTCATCTGGATCATCTGCCAAGAACGTATATGAACAGGTCCCAGTCCGAGAAAAGGATGGAAGGATCCTGTTCATATGGACCTGTCGTCAGACAGAACACTAAAAAAAAGGAAGGAGGAAATTGTCATGGCATAACTTAAGGTAGTTTAATATTCCGGCATTTGCTTTGAAAATATAAGGAAAACCGCGAGAAATCCCAGTTAGGATATATGTTCTCCCAGTCGAGACTTCAACCGGGACCTTCGGAATACGAACACGACTTTTGATGCATAGGAAAAAAATATCTAATTTTTTCTTGTTTCTTTGGATTATATTGGTTTGAACTTCCTTTTTTCAGATGGAACATTATTCCCAAGAGAATTAGATAACTTACGCTTACATTATATGATTATATAAGCCAGGGACGAACCCCGCTCTAAAGGTCAGGTGGAAATACATCGTTAAAGGTAGCTGGCTGGGCCAGTGACAACAGCTGCAGAGAAAAGCAGACGATGATGCAATAAACTTAATAAAGAATAGGAACTTCGCATAATCTGAGAATAATCGACGTCTTCGCTGACGAGACAACCTCGCGTCTTCGTTCAGGCTTCTGAACGTCAAAACTAAAAAAAATCTCGTGTTTAAGTCAGGAACCTGGTCATTTCGTTCGTGAAAACATGAATGACTATTAAACATTTATAGCCCAGTGGTAACTACATTTAAATAATTAATAACTTGAATTTTCTTAAACAGCGTTAACCAGTCGATCTTTGTAATGGTGAAGTGTTGTGTTTTCTTCGCGGTACGGACTGGATTCTTAAATACGATTTGCCGAGCTTCGCGTTTAAAGGGTTAATAAACATCGGTTACTTAGTTTATGCCGTGTTAACTACGAATCAGAAATGGACGAAATTCATGAAACGAATAGATGGTTTGAGAATATTTTTCTTTCCGAACACACCTAATAATATAAAAATAAATATACAAACTATTAACACTATAAATATACTCGTGCCAAACGCGTTTCGACATCAGGAGGTCATCATCAGTGGCAAAAAGGGGGAATTAATTTGTATACTTATTTTGGTATTTGTGGGTTATCGGGACACATCGCTTTAAAAATAGGTTAGGTTAGGTTAGGATAGGTTAGGATAGGTTAGGATAGGTTAGGATAGGTTTGGTTAGGTTAGGTTTGGTTAGGTTAGGTTAGGTTTGTTTAGGTTAGGTTTGTTTAGGTTAGGTTTGGTTTGGTTAGGTTAGGTTAGGTTAGTTTAGTTGTCATTTAATAAAATAAAATATAATAACTTTCAAGTATATGTCATTTATCCACACACATTAACCTAACCTAACCTATTTTTAAAGCGATGTGTCCCGATAACCCACAAGTACCCTTATTTTTATATTCTAACACACTGCACGGTATGCATAGTTTTAACACCGAATAATATTTGGATTATTTTGAATGCCAGTTTCTGAACATATTTCCTTTGTCTTTGCATGGTGCATAAATCTATCGTGTGTAATGGAACAAATGTTTTCAGACGGCTGGTAATGCGTGCCATATTGGCACAGTCGTTTCTTAAGGGAGTGGCATTGAATTGTTAATATAACCTGTTAATTGCAATTGTACATTTTCTATACTTATTGCTCTGATAATATTTACGAAGTCGGTGGCAATAATAGTTCGAGAAACAAACTGTCATAAGGCTAATTGTGTCAACATTTGCCTTACGCAGTGGCTGCAATAAGGAACGAAAGCCAGAGAAGTGAACTCGGTGTCCCTGAAGATTTCCCGCTCACAGTGATCAAAGTCGATGCAATTATTTGAAGTCAAAGTAGACTTTTCCTTTCTTACGTGTTTTAAGCTTTTGCATTTCATCTCTCATGGTACTATTCAATTTATCACTAACGAAATCAGTATAAAATGCTCAAATCTATAACGTTTCTGCTTCATATTCAGGCGGTCCCTGATTTGAATCTGGACTTCATGGTTCTGTATCCTGCCTCAAATTTCCTGATTCCTCTAGGTACTTTACAATACACTTAGATTGTCCTATTACGGATGTTTTTTTATTTATTATTTACATCTGTGCTGTCAGTTGACTCAAACCATGAGATTGACAATTTTTTTTAAATATACAGACAGGAGAAAAATTTGTAAAAATTAAATTTCAATTATGAGTTATGATTATCATGACGATAATGATCATATAACCAGTCTTCGTGATTAATAGAGCGTGGTTCTCTTTCAAATCTCTTAGACCTTGGGCAAACCATGTCGGTAACTTTTACTTCTAGTAGTTTACCCATGTTTTTTATTTTAGACTCTAAATTAGTGTACAATTATTCATTTTTAATTTTATTTTCTATAGCTGTTTGTTTGTGTTTTCATGAAACATTTCAATGAAATGTGTGGTTTTTCTTTCTGACCCTTTAAATTATAATCAGGATTATTCTTAGGAGTTATTTTAATTGGTGTTGGTACTTTGGTCCCAGTTGGCCGTAGCTTTTCAGCTAGGCGAAATCCTCAGCGTCTTTGAACGTATTTGACACTCAAGAATACAATGTATCCAGACGTATATTGAATCTCAGGGAGGGCATTTTCATTATACTAAGCATGACCCACGAATGCATAAGCTATTTCCCCAAGATTAAACATTGGTCTAGACATAAATTGTTAGGCAAGTCCGGATTCTTTTTAATAAAGTACTCTTTCCTCATGAGTGTTCATCCCGAAATTGCTTTCTCGTGAATGGATATTAAGAGATTTAAGCACGTTTCCTCCGCATTGAAGATAATATAATTACAGCAGACTTTACAAATATAATATTGACCTCCTATCAGTTAAATATAATTGCAGAGACCCTCGCCTCTCACCTTAAACACATTAATGTAATTCAGAATAGAGTAGTACAGTCCTGGGTTTCAAAGTCTGACCCGTCGATGCGTTTTCGGTGGTCTACCAAGGTCTACCATTTTATAATATTTTGTCACTGTATGTGATGAAACATTTGTTGCATTACAAGTTACGTTTTTACCTGTCTTTTTCACGAATAATAAAAGAAACAAATCAACGAATGTCGGAGAAAATAACTGAGTAATTTGTGAACTTGTTTTCCTACAATTTTAATGAATTACCCTGACATAATTAATTGTCCTCATTTATAATATGGCCGACCGCGACTTGATGTGTAAAAGTGGTTGTTGGAAACCACTCGGATTATTTAATTAAACGGCGATTTAATTTAAATATTTCGAAGAATATCGTGAATAAATGAACTTAATTAAACTTATTGTTATAGACTCTTCATATTAGACCTGTCTGACGCTTAATGCTAATAATATTTTCTACTAATCTCGATATTTTACATGAAAACATTGATATTTCTGTTTAATATAGGATGTGTATTTAATATTCTTCGAAGTTTCTGTAAATGAAATCACAGTTAACAGTTGGTAAACGTTTACATACATTGAATATAATAGAAAGAGCATTAGGTCAAAAGTTCAGTGTGCTCTAATAATTGAAGAATTTCTGGTTATCAATATTCCTTGCTCAGATTCTTTGTTTCGTAATTTAATAAATTTATAGTTGAGAAGGAAATATTTATAAACATTGCCTTTAAAACGACATGTAATGTATACAGTATTCACCGCCTTAGCTTTAACTACATTACTCGTGTGTTTAAATATTTATTTATCGGTTTAAAAATTACAGTCCTGAAATCTGTTGCTTATGTGTTTTTGTTCTTGAGTAGAATGCTGGCTAAAATACGACGCACGCCTGCCCGTTCTCTGGTCCTAAAAACCTAGCTATTTATTAGAGCTTAATAATGCGAAGGAAAGGGATTATGTTATACATAAATGTGAAACGTGGATTAGTTTACCTTCACTTAACGATAGCACGTTTAAGTTAGAAAGTGGAAAATCGTGCTGTACCAGTTATGCTTTTTATTACTAAGCATGAAAGTTCTTGTACCAAAGAGAATCATCTCGTGACATTACCGATGTTCGTAATACAAAAATCTGAAGTAACATCGCATAACATGCTAAAAATAAAGTCATCCTGTGAGAGACAAAGGAGTTGAAGGCAATTTTCCTAAGTGAATAACAATTTAAATACATTCGACTATAATATTCTAAAAAGGTTAGTATTTTGAGAGCTGTTCATACAAATTTTATAAGAACTTTTTCCCTCTGCATTCAATAAGAGTATTTGTTTAAAGTATGAGCATGTTTATACGTCTCTGTGTTTGTCCCCTTTAATGACTTAAGATTCAGTTGGCCGATTCTTGGAAATTCTCGTATTTGATCAGAATGTTTAACTACGCTTAAATAATACTGACGAAGTACACGATGTTATGAGGTGGTAGCATAGCTCCATGAATCAGTATATTGTGTTAATTTTTATAAAATATGGATATTTTTTGTATAATCGACAGCGAATTATATCGGTTAATATTTATATTTATTGTGTCCTTTGTAAGATGTATATTTTTGTTTCTTTCTGTACAATGGACAGCAACTTATATCAGTTAAATATTCTTATTTTATGACGAAAATTGCTGATAGTTGGTAAATTAGCAGTAAGCTATGGTTGTTTAAATTTTTAGCTAATAATTTCACTACATTTTAAAAATATTTTTCATTTGCTATCCCTTTCTATTTACATTGGATTAATGGAGTAATTCACGATAAATTCTTTTTAATGTTTTGCGGGACCTACTCTTTGCATAGTTCAATAATATGTGGGAGTTAATGTAAAAATGTGTCCAATTAATTAGGGCCTAATGATGCAGCTCATTTTAGGAAAAAATAAGTTGTGTTGACGTGAATAAATACAATTCTAGGAATTTGTGTTACGCCAGCCAGTAACTATATGATTATATCTGGTCTGTTTTTGTTAGATAGAGTGACCTTGAATTTGTATAGAATATAATTTTGCTATTTATGTGCAAAGGGCCAGGATAAGCAGTGAACAGTGGACTTGTTAGAGTATGCCATTTACCTTTATATAACAATAAGCCTCTATTAGGCACGATTAGAGAAAGTTAAAAAAGTATATCCTCTCCATATTCCGAGATCTTGTTATCTGAAACAAAATTTTAACATACGTCTAAACTTAAACACCCATTATTCCTAGTCGTCCTTGTCCCCCTACTATGAAACGACTGTAAGCAGATTCTTCCTGGGCAAAATACATTTAAAATGGCTACTTATAGGCACACAGAAAATAGTTGTACCATCACTGTACCTCAAGCATGGGCCATTAAAGAATTTTATGTAGGTCGTGAAATGGAATAGAAAAAGTTTTCGATATCTGCAACAAAAGTATCCACAGATCACCAATGTGTGATTAAAGAAAATATTGTCGTCGGTATTCAAATAAAGAAATATAATTAATCACATGAATTTTTTATAAAGTTTAGAATAAACTGGGAAGACAACTTATGTAAACATTTAAATCGGCGATTGACAACTTCCTGGACAACCATAAAGAGTCTAAAGACAGACGGTTGGTTTAGCAAATGCTTGCAGACTGCAGAAAGTTGGGTCATAATACTGTCACGACTGCTTCTCCCATCTTCTACAGCCTCTGGGATGCGTAGACGTGCATAAAACCCGGGAGTGTGCTGAAGAGTCTGTTCTGGAACAGTCCCAAGTGTGGTCGAAAGAACCGGAAATAAGTCTGAAGCAGTTGAGCATTCGAGATCTTTCTCGATTCGTCAGTGTTCTTATAAAAGTGCAAAGGCCACGAGCAGCGGAAGGCGTTCTTACTCTGGAGCAGCGAGAAAATGGGTCCAGGAAGTTGGGGGCAGCCGTGCTTTCTGTTAATGGCGTCTGAAGAGACGTCTTGATGGAGGCGCTGGTGACGCCGACACCGGGGCGATACGAATGTGAATGTTTCTCGCCGAGATCGCACTAGTTTATCCCAGATCTGGACGTCTCGCAAACCGACGATTCACTTCTGAGCTTAGGTCGCCATGAATTATTGCACAACCAAGATAGATTTTCGATATGGAGTCACTTAAGTACCATAACACGTCCACGGTCATCCCAACTCACTCTGTTCAGCGGTGAGATGATCCAGATGCGATCAACGATGGAACTGGAGGTGAATTTCCACAGATGAAATATGACAAGGAATAGCGAGTAGAGGTTGATTTTATCCAGAACTATACAGAGATTGGTGGAAGTTTAGCGAGTAGAGGTTCATTATACCCAGAACTATACAGAGATTGGTGGAAGTATAGTGTGACATAGGGAATTACAAGCTGCTGCAAAGAGACAGAAACGCTGTGACATGGCCACTGACTTTCAAGATCTTCGAAGGACACTGCACTTTGAGGTCATCATCTCGTGGAGTGTAATTACCGACACCTTTATCTTACATCGCTGACGTTAAACCTTCCGTCGTTCTCAATTGAATTTCCCTCCAACAACCTTGGAGAGGTCAGCGACGAACTTAGTGGTTTCCTCTAAGACATTTCTACCATGAACCAAAGATGATGGGGAAATTTCAGTCCGACTATGCTGACTGATTACTGCTGGCACCGTATACGAGAATGTCCTGGCACGTACAAAAGAATTAAATTGGAAATGATTTTGAAGAGTTTAACTGTAAACGTATATTTTTATTTTCTTTTGCGCGGTGTTATAATAAATAAAAGTGGAAACGACTTTTTATAGGGTTTAATGAATTCATCTCGGGCTATCAGTCATATCAGGTGGTTCAAAGGTGAAAACATTTCGAGAATCATCTCAGTAACCTGAGGACGAGGACGAATATCGTTCTCGAAAAGCTGGTTTTTTTCACCTTTAAACCACCTGACGCGGACTGGTAGCCCGAGATGAATTCATCGTACGTAGTCGCCGTGGAAGCTTCAGATCATACATTTTTGTAGGGCTGTTTTTAATTTATTATTACATTTTCTATATCAGGTATTTAACGTTATAATAAATAACAGAATGAGTTTTTAAACATTGATTGATTTATTTTCCCATTTCTTGAATACCCTTCGTTCACAATATTTTTTCCCAGATTCGGGATCAGTGCCTCTAATCTATAAATGCATCAATCATCATTTATGAATGAGAAATAAAATCTAAATCTATTATCCAGTAATGGGTTAACATATAACACAAGCTTTATATTTCCCAATGGGTTGTCGCAACGAGGAATGTTCGTCTCGTTTCTGATCATTAGTGTTTGTTCTACAGTTCACACTGACTTTCACTTGGTGGGCTATAATGTTGGCACTAGGGATAAAGACATGTCTCTCTTGCGGACACTAATGGCAACTCTTAAAGTAATCATGGCCACGAGATTTCAGTTCATATTTTTGCATATTATTATTTTCATTTAGGTGGTATATAACTTTTCTTTCCTGGTTTTACAAGATTGGTCATTTTTATAAACATCCTTCAAAGTTTAATTCGTAAAACATTAACAGATAAACAAGGAAACAAAATAATCTTAAAATTCGTTATGAACGTGCTAATACAGTTTACAAACTAAACAGATCTTGATATTCTATGAAATCTTTTGTGTGCTGAAGTTACAAGTAAGCTATCTAGAAAACAAAAGGAACTATACAAATAAAAATATCATATTAATAATGTAGAATTAGATGAAATAAACGAATATATTAAAATTTTCCCACATAGCTGTACTACCATTAATCGCAATATGGTAGTTTGGCGTTGCTGCTTTTGAAGAGGGACGTACTAAAGATTGGAGGCACAGTAATATATTTTTCTACGAGATTAAGCCCTACTGTATACTTCGTACGAGGCTGGAGTACCAACAAAATGCCTGCCTCCAAGAAATATTATATATAAAATATTATCAGAAATAGAAGATTATTAAACCTAATCTTCTGTAATCGTTTCATTCTGTCTGGTTTTTATAATTAATGTATTTTTCTAGGCCTTTTTTTATTTTTGTCTATTAATTAAACTTATAAAATTATTTCTTTGACACTGCTGTTGAATATACGTTACATAAGACTGGAAGGCCACGTTCCATATTATTATAAATACTACGTATCTCATGTTTCATATTTTTTATTGCCTGCACTTACGAAATTAATTATGCCGAAAGTATTTAAAACTCGTTCCATTGCCAACATAATTTTTGCAGCGTTATAATTTAATGTGTATGCAACAATAACTTTTGTGGTTATATTACATATAAAGAAAGTGACATGACGTAATTTCCTCCAGTAATTATGTTGCAAATACATGTTGGCGTAGTTCACTGAGCAACATTTAGTAATAATTTACATTCAATATTAATTACGCGCGTAAAGAACAATAATATCACTTAAAAAGCATTAAATGATGGATTCCTGTTTCGCCCTTACCTGCAGCAACGGCGCACAGAACGAGGACGGCTGACAGCGTCGGCTTCATGTCAGAGAACTGAGGCAAACTGAAACGAACGCTTTCACGTACTAAACCCGCTCATGCATTTCAAATTCTGGAATGAGTTGAGTTAGGAATCGACAGTACTGCACTCAAGCGGCCTTACCTACAACTGTGGCTACCTTTCACAGTTACGTGCGTTATTCACACCAAAAAATTTAAATAAAACGAATGTGTATCTGTATTAAAAGTTTATTCCGTGAAGATTATACTAGCTGGTCGCAAGAGAAATTTGTCTATCACTCGTGGCTATTTATATTTCGTAGGAGGTTTCTTTACTTTTATGAAAAACAAATTTTCTTGTTTTGGAGTAAATCGAATTCAAGAGTCAATTACTAATTTCTCAATAATCTTCTTCGGGCGGAATTTTCGCATTTTATAGGGAATTATTGAGAAGGATTTGTATGGGATAACGCACTATAAGTTAATAAAAAATATTGTTATAGTAACATAGGACATTGTTAAGTGCTGTCCCATACTTTGAGGAGAACTGTGGAAATCAGCTAAAATTTGTCAGGAAATGCTGTCTAGGAAGTCGAATTCCTGTCGTGAAAAATAGAAAGCAGGATAAAATAATTACACCCCAACAGTTGGTACCATGATACTGCTTTTGTTCCTAAATGTACGCTTGAGAGAAATAAAGTAATTGATATGTCATCGTCCATTCCGTAACCTACATCACTTCTTAGTTTGTTGACAATAATTGCTAGATATTTTTTTTATATTTATCACACCCAGGCATACTAAATTAAAAACAATATTTTAATTGCTTACACGTGTATTTCTTGTTGAATTTGAAACATTTCCAAAATTGTTTTGCCCGGGATAAATTCATCGGAATTCTTCGCCGCTATCAGGTTTATTTACATGTAACATTTGCGTAGAATGGCTTCCTAGTTCCGACCACCTTCATGGATCAAGGCGGTAAGAACTACATTCACGGCGAAAGTCGTCTTCATTGTTCTGAAAGCAACACAAGAGTTCACTTCTGCATTCCATTCAGCCCGGTCTGCGCGGTTTGTTCTAACGGACTCGCAATGTTTAACGAGCAACACTTTCAATTATTAATGCATAGCAGCCGTGATATCTCGCAAAAGTGAAACAAGGCGCACGTTAAATTTTGCAGTAAAATTCATGCTGTCTGTGTTTAAAGTAAAGTAATTTGTGGAGATTAAACCAACTACAACAGGCAAAATTAGAATTTACAAAAACAAAATTGATATCCTTTGTAACTCCATAACTTGTATCCTTAATTTTATATTGTTAGCTACAAATTAATATTTTTTATTAGTGACAATATATAGCGTGAGTTAAACTTAGATTCGTTTTAAAGACTAATTCGGAAACCCGATTTTACTAAACCAATTAATATGGTCAATAATTATTTCTGTCAAGCCATCTATGCTCTCGAAACGTCGGCAGAATTTAACCAAGTGATGGTGTTGAAGGCCCGAGAAGATTTTATTGATTTTATGGGCCGTGAAAGTTTCACGTCATACACATACGTATTTATCTTAATACATAGACTGATTTTAAGATAAAAGTACGTTCATATTATTTCTGATATACTTTGTAGTGTCAGTATTTTGAGTGTGAATTTTTGGGATTACACTTCTGCATATAAAATTTAAAGCTCTCATGTCGGCGCGGAAAAGATGACTGTCTTCTGGACTTTTGCGCCGTGTAATCTCGTAGAAGTTTACAGACATTTCAAATATGTATTCTGCCTCCATCTTCAGGGCGGTGATAGAGGCAGCTAGGACCTCTGAAACATCGGTAATCTTCTACCAGACTGCACGGCGCGACAACCCATAAGTCAGTCATATTTGACTTGGCTAATATGTCTATACTATACGCCGTTATTCCATAAAACGTTTTAGTTTCCATGAGCCAGTAGGTCCTTTACTCCGGACAGCATAGAAAGGCATAATCGCACAATGTTCTTTCATCACTAGTGTTTCATGCATACAAAGTGTCCTAGCAGCTAAGTTTAAAACCAGTTAAACCCAGCATTGAAATCTCCACGCCCAGTCTTGTGTACCGTTAGACTAGACGACCTTGTTGATACATATAGTCAGTTCCAGTAATCAGGAACATTTATTTAATCACATAATTTCCTGGTACTTACGAACACTAAAATTGGCATGTAGCAAGTTACATTTTTCCGATGGAATAAAGTTACCACATGTTGAGTCCTGACAATCATGTATTTATTTTTATTAATGCTACTCTGATGCGGGTAATGTAGTCGTAACATTCCGCGTTTGTAATCAGGAGGCATAAGATTTAGATATAATCTTAGCCGTATTGCCGGTATCCTGTCGGAGGCTTCCCTTAATTAGATGTCTCTCCGGTTAGTGTCTTGAAAGAAGTCGTACAAGTCTTTCCTGATTCGGCACGTATATATCTTCCCATCTCTGTTACATAACTATGAAACTGGAAGTTAGACGTTAAATGGCCTGATAGTAAGCTCATCATTAGTGTAGTGACAATATTCCATTGACAATATTCCCATACATTAATATAGCAGATTTTCTACCGTTGGTTGTAAAGTACATTCGTCAAAACTCGTCAGTTGTGCGATATTTAATTACATTTATATCTTAGTGTGGTAAGCTATTAAAGAAAGTGCCCATTCTTTTCTCTTGTTTTCCTTCAAATTACCCGTAATGCAATACTTTCCATAGGATAATCTTGCGAATATATGTTCCCTTTAAACTAACAAGACAACCACAAGAGTTTCCCGTATGTTGTACTGTTGTTACAAAAGTCTTATGAACATCTTTGGTGCACGTTAAAAACTTTTCAGTCAAATGTAACTTAATTAATATTGACGTATTCTTTCTTACCAATCACTCCCATTGGACAAAAATGAGATTATATCAAATGCACTGAAATAATTAAACTGATTCGTTGGTGTAATAATCTTATGAATATATATATATATATACATGGCCGTTAAAATATGTAAGAAAATATCCATAATTTTTATTAAAGCAGGCTAATGAAATTGCTCATTTCATATAACATTCTTACAAACATATATATTTTGTGTGGCCAGTGTCCTGTACCACTTTGGCGCCGGATATGATTTTAATAGGATTGAACTTATAGTTACTTAAGACTTTCAGTATGAAAACTAATAATCTGCATTCTTTTGATGACTTTTTAAGCATTTCTTAGTAACCGCTACGCCAAGGCGTTAATTTCTTTCACTGTTATCATAAGTGTTCCGACTGAGAGTGTCCAGCGAGCCAAACTTTCACTCCAGTACCAGACATTGTAAATGTAGAACAACAGTATTGCCAACAGAACTGCTTATGATGCTAAAACATAATTTTGGAGAATTTGGTATGACATAACATATGCAGCGCACATCAATTATTCAAGTTTCCATCTCATTTCTTACTTGGTGATGTTTTGTGCGTTTATACGCGTGCAAAATAATTATGCTTTTGTCAATATAAGTTAGTTTTAATTTAAACTGAATCATAAGTTTAATTTTCTCTAAACTGTACTTATCGCTTCACGTATTGAACCTCGTTTTATTCAGCGGTGTAATTCCTGGAATTATGTATAGCTCTTACTGTCTTAATATAACTACGACATTTTATTAAAATTAACAAAACTAAATCAATCAGTTAAGAACGTGCACAGGTACACCGGAATACCGATAATAATATTGAATACACATATTTTATAAATACGTTTTATCTATATTTTGCTTATTTCATTCATGTTTTCTTATTACAAATATGAATCTTTCATCTTATGTTTATCTCTCAGACGCTAATGGATCTACAGACATCGTATTGAATAAAGTTACATATGAATTTCCCTTATTATTAGTTAAATGTAATAATTAACTCGATGGAGCAGTGGTCTTTTTAACATTCATACCATCTCAACTGGAAAAAGTTCCCCGTCTTATATGAAACCCAATGTTCATTACTGTATTTACAACCCGACACTGTATTATATTCAATTTTAATCTACTCTGTGCCATACATCCTGTTTTTAAGATCCGTTTTAATATTATCTTCCCATTTACGACTAGGTTTCTAAATTAAGACTTCCCTTCAGGTTTTAGACAAAATACGAATAAACATTAAGTATTCTTCACAGACTTCCCTTCAGATTTTAGACAAAAACTATGTATTGTGTATTCTTTCTTCCTTATTGTTGATATAACTCACACATAAACAAGTTAAAAGTGAAAGTCGTGGATCGTAATGAGATGCATGTTCAAAATTCTTATAACACTAGCTATTCTTGCGAAGTTGATAGAATTATACGCAATCTTGTTGCAGTATAGGAGTAATAGGCTTTTAAGACCGATACGAATAAACATTAAGTATTCTTCACAAATTGTCATGCAGATTTCCAATACAAAAATTCAGTTTTCGTCTTCAGATTCTGACATAAGACATACGAGACGGATCTACGGAACTTCGCCATTATGCGTTCATTTTAAATACCGTACTGTGTACAATAATAAATGAAGAAATGAAGAATGAATAACGGAACTTTTCATCAGCTAAACGAAAAAGTGAGATGCCATCTTTTCACTAATTTTACAATTCTGTTGAGGGCACATCTTTTTCAATTCTTTGATACGAATTCTTTGGATCGGGCCACGATCGCTGCGTCCCATATTTATTTCGCCATGCATAATCATCTATTTATCTCATTAGAAGATAAAAAGTTTGCAGTTGATGTAATATCATTAAAGAATCATTTAACTAATCTAATAGCAGTGCGAAATCAGTTTCATTAAACAATTAGTGATTGTGTGGTTGTCCGTGAAAGGATCCGGGTTTATGCTACTCAAATGCATGTTCACTACTTGATTCAGTGTGATTTTTGGAGGACATTAGATTAAGGCCACAATCAGAAAAAGAAATCAGTATTGGTCCATTCAAAGCAGCGCGTGTCCATGTGACAGGAATAGAAGTCAATTGTTTTGTAATTGTCGGTGTCTGTCGGTTGGTGTGAAGGAGGTCACATGTCAAGAAATAGCTAGATAGCAGTTCTATTACGATAAAATTACGTTTCAACACCGTTAACATCAAATCCCACTATTGGTAACTATTCAGAGCTAGTTCCAACTACTATCCTCACAATGACTCTTCCTGAGATCGATCTTAATATTATCTTCCGATGACTGTGTCAATAGAGTGCGAACCGGATGTAGTACGAGCTTCTGCCGCTAGGGGGGGCGGGCTACATTCATAGTGAATCAGTGTGCCAGCCGGCATCATCGAATTAGCATTTGTTTCTTAGTTACGGGCGTTTTGGTAGTGCATTACACCGACCCTCCTGCGATTTCGGAATGGCGTGTGCATCAAATTTTGCCAAAGACTCGCCAAAACGGCTACGGAAACCTATGAAATGCTCAAGCAAGCATTTGGGGAGTCCGCAATGGGTCGTGCACAAACTTTTGTGTGGCATTCACGTTTTAAAAATGGCCGAACCTCTGTCGATGATGACGAGCGTTCTGGACGACCATCTTCGAGCACAACGCCCGAAACTGTTACGAAGATCGACGTCGTACCATCAACGTCTTGTGCGACATTGTTGGGATAGGCTATGGGACCTGTTAGCTGATTCTAAAGGAAGAACTCCACATGCGACGCATCCTGTCAGAGGACTAGAAGCAGAATCGACTTCTCGTTTGTCAGGAGCTCCAAGATCTTGCAAGAACCGACCCCAACTTCCTTTTTAAGCTCCGTGTGACTTCTTCCTCTTCCCAAAGATGAAAATTCAGCTAAAGGGAAGGAGCTTTGAGACGATAGAAGAGATTCAGGCAGAATCGCAGATGGTGCTTGACAGGCTGACAAAGAAAGATTTCCAGTGATGCTTCCAGGCTTGGCAGCGGCGCTGGGATCGGTGTGTTCACTCCCCGGGGAACTACTTCGAGGGTGATGGATGAATTTAATACCTGAGATAAGTGTACGGGTTTTTATAGGCGCAGTCTAGAAACTTTCCGATCGCACCTCGTATGCTATCCTCGTGTGCCCCATCTTGGCAATATTGCCATTCTACTCGCAAATTACATATTTTGATTACTTCTCTTTTTCACCATGTTAAAATCTATTCAATAGTCCACTGAATATTGAAGAGTTTGTTAGGAACTCGACCGCCAGTTGGAAGGCACAGACATTTTGTGACCTCATCCTTTTATGTTATAACCTCATTCTGAACGAGGAACCAGACATCTTACGAGAATCATTCTTAAATCGTACAGCAGGGGGTTTGAGAAGATGTTATTGTTGTTTATGATTAGCATATTTTGTAAAATACATTATTTAGTATACTATATCAAATCTAAAACTTGTTGACGATGGTGAAGAGTCAATTGAATAAAAATTTACTTGGATATTGTCCATCGTCTAATAAATATAAAACGTAAAACGACGTTTCGGAGATAGAGTCCCATCTCCGAAAGGTCGTTTTAAATTTTATATTTACTAGACGATGGATAATATCCAAGTAAATTTTTATTCAATTGATTTAGTATACTAGCAGAATGCCAGGGGAAGTGTGACAAAATCTTTGATTAATTATTATTAATCAAATATTTTTGATAATTATCAATCCTTATAGCCTAAAATCTTACCGAAGGTCTGATAATTCTACACGTAACTAATACCACAAAAATACTATTCTCCCCAAACCCAACATATTCACGTAGACTAGAACCCAGGACAGCTGTCAAGTTTGTGATCTTGGTTCTTGTAATTTCCTCGCCGAAACAAATAGTTTTATTTTTACGCTCCTTAATTATACTTTGTTTTCGAGATACTGAAACAATCTTCACCGGAATTAGAAACCAGGACAGTTTTCCAGGGTTTTCATCTTTGTTTCTGTGGTCACCTCTTCGGTACATACAGCTTTAGTCTTGACGTCTTCAATCATTTTTAGTTTCCCACCTGCATTTACCGCCTTCACAGGGTCTCGAACTATAGACACATTTCCGAAGTTTTACCGTCGTATATTCTCTCTGGTATCAAGGATTATGCATCCAAATTTGGTGAAAATCGGTTTATCCTTTCTCGGGATAGAATTGAACACAGATTCACGCATGCATATTTATACAAACATGTCAACTGATACCATCACGATTATCAACAGGTAGTGCAGGGCGACGCTGCGGTGGTCTAGCGGTTAGAACGCTGGCCTTGTAATCCTGGGGTCTCGGGTTCGATTCCCGGCGGTGCCCGAATTTATAACTTGTGTTGGGCAAGGCCGTGGTCTAGGCAACACGGAGTTTTCCTCCGTGGCATCCCAACAATTACTCCATTCACACACAGAAGAAGGCAATGGCAAACCACTTCTGGATCATCTGCCAAGAACGTATATGAACAGGTCCCAGTCCGAGAAAAGGATGGAAGGATCCTGTTCATATGGACCTGTCCTCAGACAGAACACTAAATATAATAAAAGTGCAGGGCATTGAAGTGGTGGAGTTTGACTTGAATTTGTGAAAAAATCAATTTTAGATAACTTACGTAATTAAAATATCATCAAATGATCTCCGATAAACAGCATATCTGTTGTATATTTCAATTTTATATTGTTGGTTTTGCGCGAATTATCATAGAAATTTTACCCACCTATCTATGTACGGAATAGGAATATTCATGCATTTCTGTAGCTACAATGTTTTAACCCGATAAGAGAATCAAACCACATACAAAAAATTTTCAGTTTTGCAACTGCATAATCTTTGTACCTTCCAGCGATTTTATTATTTATAAGTAATTAATTGGGGAAAATATGGGGACGTAGCATCGTAGCTTATGTTATGTGATAATCCTACACATATCTAGAGGGACTGAGGAAAATCACAAAGAACTTTTACTATATCCAGTCTCCGGGAAGAGATACGAACCCGAATACTTCCGAATACGAGGCTAACCGAGACATTCGGTGGGATTACTTGTTGATGAATGATCAGCCTGACTGTAGTCTGTTTGTTGTTGGTACTCGCTGGATGAATGTTAGGCAACACCAACCCAATCATCACTCCTGTAAACATTCTTGTACGTCGCAAGTTAATTGTCTTGTCAATGTCATTAGCCTTTTGGCTCTCTTACCCTTTGCACTCATACGATCTTCCCGTCGTCAGTCTGTGGAGGACTCCCGAGTTGGAGAGAGAAATACTTCAGAACTTATAAGTTGATCCTTCCATTAGGGTCATTCATTATCAAGCCAAATTTACACATCCTTGACAAGGAGAACAGCAAAATGAGCTGTATCCTATCTGCACAGAATTGTAGTCTGCAGCAGGATTTACGATGGGAAAGTGAACGCTGAATGTGGATGTAACTAAGAGGAAATTCCGCGGGTATTAAGAAGTTTCGTAATCCGGAGTACGAGAATGACCCGCGCTGTCGTTTAATTACTGTCTGCAGTGCTTGGACATATTTGCAGTCTAGAAATGTTTACATTCTCTGACGACAAAACGCTATTGACTTCTGAAGGAAGAGATGATTCTGCCATTCGGCATCGGGTCGACTGAAGACACCTTTTACACGTTCTGTTAGTTAGTTCTGAAGACTGTTTAGAAACTTCGTGAGTCGTGTCTTGCCGTGCCGTGTCGCCGACCGATTTCTTTCTGCGGGAAAGTGACTCTCCCCTGGATTTCCTTTGCCAAACACACAGGAAAGTTGATAATTTGGTTTAGTTCGACAGTTTACATGAGAATATTTTTTATCTCAACGTTTTATGTTGCTACAAACTAGATATTAATGTAAACTACGATATACGTTCGCAAATGTTTTTATTCCTCAACAGGAAAGTTTTTCTAAACCAAGTTTTTAACCTCAGTAGCATTAAAAACACCAACTCCAATGATATAGAATGTTAAAACACTCTTGGTTTAGCATTTAAATCGTATATACAGGTTGTTCTAAAAGTCAAGCAACTTATAACAATATTTAGTAGTAGTTGCAATTGAATACAGTTCCTTTGCATTAGTAAATATACAAGAGCCTACTACGTACTGTTGTAACCTGTTCGTCCCGGTCCGTCACTTGTCTTCAAACAGTCGAAGTGCAAGGATGTCTTTTTCACAAGTGTAACTACTTGGCGTCTCCTTACTTATCCTGCTCGAATAAGTTTAACGATACATTTACCGGTTATCTTGTGCCAAAGAAATCGACAATATATCTTCTGGTGAACCGTTCAGTACTGTAAATGTTTAACACAATTCATTCAAGGGGATGTAAGCATTTGAATAATGTTTCTGTAGATGAAGCTTGGTTCCACTAATGTGGACATTTAATATCCGAAACAGCAGAATGTTCAGTGCTGAAAATCTACATATATTTCATTTAAGACCGAAGAACTAATTAAAAGTCGAAGTATGGTGTGTTGATTCTCGACGGAGGATAATTCATATAATTTTCTTGAGTGAATCGAAAAAAGCTGAAAGTTCCAGGAATTATTTATGAATGTCTTATCCTCTTTGTAAGTTGGAGAACAATGCTGCTGGTTTCAACAAGATGAGTCTACGATGCACGGAGAAAATTGAACATCGCAAATATCGAGCGAGGTTTCGGTGGTCACACAATTTATCTCAATCACCGCTGCTTAACCTTGGCTTCAAATGACGTTTCGCCCTGAATTTAATGTTAGTTGAGAATAATTAGTCCACTCTTTCTTCAAATACAGTAACTTTTTGTGTCACTTAAGTGGTTAATGTCCCTAACTCACAAGAACAAGTATTTAATGTACTTTTACCGTTTATATTAATTATTATTAAGTTTATTGAAGATTAATGTAGAATATCGGATTGTACATATAGTCAGAGATATTAAATATATGTGTCATATAAGAAATAAGTTATTTCATTATTTCAGTACAGATTATTTTAATAAAACCCTGGGCGAGAAACAGATACGTATACATTAAATTATATTTGCGAGTTTATAGCTCTTTGTAAAGGAACGTAAATTTTCCTGGTTGCTAAAATAACTCGTCCTGACGCTCCTCTGCGGATCTCAGGACGTGGACACAGGAATATAATTCTGTAGATCGTTTTTTTTACCTTGGCACACTGTCTGGTGACCTACTATAAATATATACCGCTGGTCACAGACTGTCGCGCGTAGTTGGCGATTTGTCGCTGTTTTTTTGTTTTGTTTAATCAGAGAGTTCAATTCACTCCCACGTGCAGATGCGATGCTCATTTCCACCTCGGGATGCGTTCTCAGCGTTGCACTTCGTGTACATCAGTCGGTCAACTTTCCTACTTTCTGTTCTTCTTTCCTTCATTTTCGTACCACTTTTCACTGTAAAATAAAAAGATTAAATCTATAAGACATATTAGAAGAGTGAGGATATTTGATGGTATGCAAACAAGGTGAAAGGATTGGAATGGATTTCGATTCTCGAGAATACGTATAGTGGGCATGATAAATAAATTTACAATCTCCGTAAAAGGTAGGATCTTTCTTAGGCAGGTCAGCGACTTTAAACTTCTTTATATATCTTCTTGGAGAAATTTACTAGTCCAGGGAAGATTTCGAATGGCAAAATCTTTAGATAACTGTGATGTACGGAGTATCCCAAAAAGCTGTTCAAAAACAATGAATGAATGAATGAAATAAGGACATTTTAATAACCTATACCATTACGTCAGCACTGCCAATTCGTTAGTTAGTAAATGTAGTGTAGGTATTTAAAATGACCGCTGAACATGTCTCCCGTGATCGCACACACGGGGATCGGCAACAAAGTTAATATTCTTGTATTTTTGAGTTCTGTAACAAAACCTAAATTCCTATTCAAATATGAGGAAAGTCTAAAATTGTCAAAAAAATTAGAAAGTAAACGTTTACCCAGAAATCAATTTTGTATTTTTTAAATGTAATAAATTTATTTATGTATTTTTTATATATAATATACAAGAGAGTAACATTAATGTAGTGTACTGAACTAATGTACGTAGCACAAACGTTGCAGTGGTAATAACAGCATTTTGTATTATTTTCTACAACAACTTTAGTTTTGAAAATGTTAAAAATATACGTGGATTTCAAACAGAGAGGAATGTACGTGTTCGTATACAAAAATTCGATATTTTCGATTAGATTATTCGAGATTCGATTCGATTCAGAGTCGATTTATTCTTTTTAGTCGTATAAAATTCCGCGTCGCAATAGTCAAATAGGAACAGTTCTTTTTTTTCGTTCGAAGGAATACAACCCTGACCGCCTGACCTTTTCCAGGAATTTCATTATTCAAATTTGCAAGGTGACTGTCATATAGGTTTAGAGTAATAAACTAATTTGGATGCAATTAACTCTCCCTTCCGTATTAAAACCATTCGTTGAAGAGTGGATAGCCCAGAGCAACTTTCCATGTAAACTGCTGTGTTTAAAATTACGACATGCAACAGTATAAATGACAAGTACGTTTGCGTCACAAGTCCCAGAAAGGTGACGTAATGTATTAATAGATAAAGTTTAAAACGCGACTCAGACTGCCCAGGACAGAAACTGTTGCTATGCATCCAAATGGGTGTGAAGTACCGAGTTTATAAAGTAAAACTGTGAAAGTAAATTGTCCCATTAGCTACCCTCAATTTTATTCTGATCTTTACATTCAAAATTATGTAATTATTGATATAATGCAACTCTTTCTTTCTGACGGATAACTTATTCTCAGTTTCTGGCATCATAATCTCCGATTCATTAATTTCTGAGATTATATGTGTGTCTCAGGAAGTAGCCGTCTGAGATTCGACCGCTCGGCGTCAATCTGTCACCTGGTGGGTTGTCAGTCAATATGTGGAGCGCGACCCATAAGCGTCTGAGACGTCACAGAAGTACAAATTACGCTTTATTAATTAGCTATGGTACCGCGATAAATAATCTGGATGAAGTACCGTCATGTTTAAAGCGTATATTCAGGTATATTTAATTTGTATCTTATATGCGTCATGTTTGTGTTTGATTAAATATATTTATTTTGTACAGTCTATACACAAACGTTTACTATTTTAATATATATTTATACGATTATTTATTTATTTATTTCCTATGTCAATTTATACTCATTCCAAGAAAATAATTAAACATTAATTCCACAGATAAATATAACGTCTGACTACAATAAGCAACTTACCATGAAAATGGAAAGCTACAAACAGAACTACGGATCATTATAATATATTGCATCAAATATCTAATAGTTTTTAAAATATTTTAAATTGAAATTTAACGACGCCTTACTCAACACCAACCACCAGGAACGGCAAATCGCTCTGGTATCTACACTGCGTCATCTCAGTTCGTGGGTCAATGACCCACACCTTTGGTGAGGGTTATGACGTGATATTTCCTTTGTGAGACGCGTTGCCTCACAATTAGTGGAGCCAGAACTATAGATTTTACCACCAATACTGAATCTTCCTGACTGCAAGAGGTTACTTACCATCCGGGTACGTTCTCTGGCTCGTCACACTTGAAGGATTCCTCATTGTACACGGTTCCTGAAGGACAGTAGCCCCGTTGGGGCATCACCCCATTCCTGCAGATGTAGAACTTCTGGCAGTCTTCAGGGTGTGGGAACGTTGGGTGTGGCAGGGCGCGTCCATTGGGACCAATCACTTCACCTTCTGGGCAGGAGAATCCGTCATCCAGCAACTCTGAGGAGACAGCAACAGTTTGCAAGAAACAACACGGAATTTGTAACATGCTATCAATTATAAACACAAACTTAACACATGATTTAAGTATGTAACGTGTAATTTTCATGTACAAAATTTCTCATTAACACAGAAGTAATTAATACAGTATACATAAACTATATTGTCACTAAGTTTTCAATTCGTGGATAAGATCGTGAAACTGGATCTGCTAGCCGAAAGTAAGTAGCCTGCATTCCAGTCTCAGCGGTGTTTCAGCCTCGCCCCAGGAGTTGACACATGATCGGAAAGTCAGGTCTTTGGTGTGCCTAGCCAAAGTCTGTGCAGGACACACCCGTACACATTCATATTCCATGCACAGCCATCTCATCACGTATTTTGTACATGGCTTTCGTATTGGTTTCGCTGTTCATCCTCAGTCTGTATCTACGAAATTCGCCCGACGATGATTTCGTCTGCTCTGTACATCAAATGTTCAAAGCGGTCTTGTGCCTGAACTAGCCGTATTATCTTCGGAAACCACAGTCATTTGCAATGGACCGCTCTGAATGACCCCAGACTACGTCTACACACGTGGCCGACGGTGGAACTAGACTCCACTTATTCCCAGCAAATCCCACGGAGCAGAATCTTTTGTAATAAGATGATAGTCGCTCAGCTGCTCTCCTATTTGGAAACAAACGTTCATTACTGTGCTAACGAAACTCTTTCACTGTACATTATTATGATTCACGTCAATCCAATCCACATTCTCATACTCTTGAGATGATAAAGTTGCGTCATATTGTGATAAATATATATTTGTTTAAATCTTGTCAGTCTAATCACAATAAAATTCCTATTAAATATTAAAATATTACTATAATTAACATTTAAATATTTAAAATATATTAAATGATGTTCTCTATCGAATACTTTGTTTGCTTCGTAATACTGTCATAATGACCTTCCGTCCGACAGGCAAATTTTCCTTTAGGCTTTCTGGCTAATAATTGTTATTTATTTTTCGTCTGACACGCGTGCTGTGTGTCCCAGTTATCTCGCCCTGGATTTTATTACGCTAACAACTTGGCGAACGGCTTAGCGACCTGGTACTTTCTCTACAAATACTTCAGAGTGTCGCATTACGTACAGACTAGATGTAATAATAACTGAATTAAAATTAATGTTTAAATAAAAAGTTCTTTGGATATTTTCCATTGTCTAGTAAAAAAATAAAATAGAAAAACGACGTTTCGGAGATGGGGCTCTATTTCCGTCTTCAGGTACCTACTCTGTTGGGCCCAATAAATAGAGCAAATCCCTATCTCCGGACTTTAAATAACTCATCATCGTCATGAACTTTTATATTTGATATAAAATTAATATCTTCTGGGCTTTTGCACCGCGTGTGTGGTAGAAATCTACCGATATTTCAGGGATATTTGCTGTCTTCATCGTCCTAATGATGGAGGTAGCAAGTAATTATTAAACGTCGGTAAACCTCTGCCTGACCACACGGTGCCACCACGAAGACCTGGTATCTCACAAGAGAGAATTGCTTTAATGTTCCCATGATAACTGTTTTCCCAGATAACAGATTCTGTTGTTCTGAGAGCCACGGACGAAGGTCCGGCCTTCGGACACAGGGCAGTCGATACCTCTCTTGCTGTGGACACAGTCCGTCCTGTGGCTCTCGGCTTGCCATGCGCAGGTGCTTCGGGTGTCGTCGTAGATGAGTCCGGGTGGACAGGGCATTACGTTGGCCACGCCGTCAACACAGTTGAAGAACTTGTCGCATATCTGGGCGTCAGAGTGCCGGAAGTAGCCGTTCGCCCGGGGACAGCTCTTACTGGGTTGTGGGTCCTCTGAAACGGGAAAATAGGTTACTGGTCCCGACGAGATCGAATGAACTGTAACGCATCTGAGTTATTTGTCAACTACCTACTTCGAATCTCGGCCGAGACACTGTTAGCAGCTGAGATTTCTTAATATCTTGCTTTTAGTTTTCTTAAAACACATCCGATTTCTTCTTCCTGAGTCCCCTTCAATTAACCGAGTGGTTAGCACTTCTGCTTTGTGTATTAGAGGCGTCGGACTCGATTTTCAGACCTTAGGCTGTCTGTTTTGACATAA